TGCATTTTTAAATGAATTTTGAACTCTCTTATTTTGAAATTATAATTACAATGTGAAATGTATTTCTTTTCAAAAGTAATATTTATATTAAATATAATTATGAAGAATAATTTAATAGTAAATAAAAATAAAATAAGGCTAAAAGCCAACTAAATTATTTGACAAAAAATTAAATATAAATATAAGAATTTCAAAGCAACTGTAGTATTTTATTTTAAAATTATGAAGGATGAGTTTCTGAGTTAACCTTTAACAAATGTAAAATATGATTAACAAGAATATCATACGTATGAGTTATTATAAGTATCAGGACATCTTCCATAGATTTTCCATTATAGCATTTTTTTCTATTGTAAAATCATTTACTCAACTGTTATACCTTAAATAAGTTTATATTTTATATTACAAATTAGTTTAAAAATTGAGGTTGTTCAAATATATTTATACAATATATAATCGAGAATTTAAATATTTAATCGAAAATTTAAGAACTCCAAACAAATTACAAGCAATTTTTTAATGGTATTAATTATATAGTAATATATTTCTTTAAATAAATCGATAGACATATTTTTATGGCAATATGATAAAATACAAATGTATAATATTTGCAAGAAAAAAACATATATCATATATTTATAGTGGCAACAATACTTAAAATGAAAAAACATTGATTTTAAGTCTTAAAAATATAATGTAGTCGACACATTTTCTTTTGGTAATGAAAATTCTTTATAAGTATTTAAAATATTATTGTTGTTTATACACATTACTCATAATGATAATGTGACTGTTTTGTTATTCACATGATTAATGTGAACTCCCAAAAAAAATGTATAACTAGCCAAAAAAATGTTATATAAAATTTGTATATAATGTTCATTGTTGATCCACATGTCACTATTATAAATAATATATTTTATATATTTTATAATTAAGTTTTCATCTTAATTTAAAAATAGAGTTTAAACATTTTAGAGTGTGAATTTTTAATTTTTTTAATTAAATCTAATTCTTTGATTTTTTGGTTAGACTGACAATAAATAAAATTCAGGTTTTGAGCTTCGATTTTCAATTTCTGCAAGCTCGTGTTTTATTTAGAACTAAAATGACACCCTTATTTTATTTAATTTTTTATTTACCATATAAATCATATATTTCTACAATTTTGGGTACAAGCGAAAGAAAATAAAGTTCCGGATTTGAGCTTCGATTCTCAGCTCCTTCACTTTCATGTTTCATTTAAAATAAAAAAAGCATCCTTATTTTATTTAATATTTTAATTATAATATAAATTTTTGCCTTCGCTTTTTGCTACCAACCAAGATATAAACTCCAAACAATATTCTATTCCAACATCAAAATGTTAACTCTCATTCACTTTTGCATTTCTCATAAAATTATGTCAGCTAGCGAATGAAAGAAACATCATTCTTCATCTTCTTCACCTAATGAACGAAACATCACTTTTTATCTTCTCCACCTAACAAACGAAACACCATTCTTCATCTTCTCCAAGTCAAATGAAGTAAACAAAGGAGGAAGGAAGCTCAAATAAGAAAAATCAAAACTCAAACCAACACTTTTTTTACTCTCTCGTCATATATTTGGTATGTAAAACCTTCTCCATGATTGCACAGTAATAATGTTGTTGTAGTTGTTATTGTTGACGTTGTTATTTTTGTAGTATTGTAGTTGTTGTGTTGAGATTAAAGGTTTAGTGTTATAGTTGTTTTATTGAGATATAATATTCATTATTGTTGGTTCTGTATAGTTTTTATTTTATTTTCACAAGGTACGTGATTATGGATAGTAAATGGATTAAAGTCAATAGATTAAGTAAAACGTATAAGAACGGAGTGATTCAATTTCTTGATTTTTGGAAATAAATATTCCTGGCGATAATGAGATTTTTTATGTTCAATATTTCGGTTGTGATGGAATTATTTAAAATTATAATAAACAAGTATGGTATGGTGAAGTGAAAAAAAACATGTGTCACATAGAGTTGAAGTTGATGAAGATATGAATGATAACCTAGAGAATATATGATCTGTGATATCGGAGTAGATTCTTTTAAGAAAGCCCATGTGTATGATACTTTACAAAGTCACATGAAAGAGTCGTTATTTCTGAGATGTAAAATTTTTATAAGATTATTACTTGTGTTAAGAATATTTAACCTTAAGGCAAAAAGTGGTTGGACAGATAAAATTTTAACTAACTTGCTTAAATTGTTGCAATAAATGCATTCAGGATGTAACACGTTGTCAAACTGTAGTTGTGTGGCCAAAAAGATATTGTGTTCAATGAGTTTGGACTATGTCAAAATACATTCATGTCATAATGATTGCATATTGTACAAGAAAAAGTATGAAAACATGAAGAAGTGCCCGAGGTGTGGAGAGTCACACTACAAGATGAAGGACAATGGTGTTGAAGATAATGATGGTGTAGCCATAAAGGGTGTTCCTACTAAGGTGATGTTGTATCTACCGATAATTCAAATATTCAAGAAATTTTTTGCTAATGTAAATAACCAAAGAATGGTAGATGTCATGTAGATGAAATAATATGCGATGAAAATATTTGCCATGTAGTTGATTCATTGCAATGGAAGAAAACTGATTTGTTGTTTCCATATTTTCCCCTTGAGCCAAAGAACCTTACACTTGGACTTTCCACCGATGGAATGAAACCTTTTGGAAATATGGACCCTTTGGGTGTAAGAACCAATGAGGGGAAAAGTGAAACACTTTTCATGATGACATTTGTTACCTTGCATAACAAACTGAGGTTAAACCCCATGTCTAAACAAGGTAAAAGGTGTTTTTCGTAGTAATGTGTAAATAAAAGCTAAGGAAAAGTAAGTTTTAAAAATTGAACTAGAGAGACATTTAAATCATAATTCAATTGATTTAATTGAAGTTTATTAAGTAAGATGAAAAATTAAAAATATGTCGAAAGTGTTAAAAAATTAATAAAAAATCCTTTTTGATCAACCAATTTAATCACTATATTAGATAATATACAAAGAATTTCTCAGAAAATCAGCATATAGCGTAAGCTGTGCTAGAGTTTGGACATGAACTATCCTCTGCTAGGGTTTGCTTCGCAAACCACACGAACCCCACTGAAGAGGACAACTTGAAGACTCGTAACACCAGAAGAATCAAACAAGGGGAGGCAATATTTTTTGTCATTAACCATGTCGCTGGTATAGGATGAAATAAGGTATGATTATGGGAGTGAAAATAGAAACAGGGTGGTTAACACTTACAAAAATATGGTCACAGGAGAAAGGACGATTGAAATTGAAGATCATTCATAGATTATGCTAGGAAAAGATGATTCAGATAAGGGTAGTAGAAATAATATGGGGCAAAAGATTGAAAAAATAAAGTTGGTGAGTATGACTACCCATAATTCACTCTCTTAGAATTGGAGGATAAAAGAACCGTGAATCCATGGAGACATGGTGTTATAGTTAAAATGATATGCAGGAGAATTGGTTACAATGCTCTAGATAAAAGACTTAAACAAATATAGGTGAGAATAGAAGTTATCAACATTGTAAACTTAAGGAAATATTATTATCTTGTCACTGTTGCACCCCAAAATTTGTCCTCCTATCTTTTTTTATTTGGCTTAGTTTTTTGCATTCATCTGCATACATTCCATTAGGTCATTAACATAGCATATATTCAATAAGGTACCATGGGTTCAAAAGATCAGTTGATCATGAAAGTTAGGATTTATAGTGGTTTGAGGTGTATTGAACAAGGTTGATTCTTTTGATTCTTCCTCAAGTAGTGAAGTTGTGGAATTAGGGTGGTGAAGGATGGTTTAAGGATCTCTTATTTATCAAGCATAAGTACCAAAGGTCACATCCGTATGACTATCACCTCCACATGAATTAGGGTTTATTTTCCTAATCATGTGGGCTTCAGATAAGGTTTTTGGTTCAAGAAGCTTCACTGTGAAACACAAAGTAACGCTATCTTCAGAGGATCTCATCCATAACAAATTAGGTTCTTATGGAGCATTATAATTATTGAATCAAAAGTTATGTGTTGACACTTAAAGCATATTGATGCATTCAAAGGTTAATGAAGGGGTTGAGTTGAGTCATGGTCTAATTTAAATAGAGGTTAAGTTCATCTATCCATCATTCAACAGTTAGCTTTTGAGGTATGAAATGAATTAAAGTTTGAATCAAAAGTTGTCAAAGCTGGTTGAAACTTGCAAAGTTGGAAAGAAAGTATTTGGATATCTTGGAATTTAAATAAACAAGTTATAAAGGCACATATCTTGGTTTTAAGGCATACAAGTTCCATTAAAAGTTATTCAGGTCATTACATCACAAGAAAATCCAAGCGTCATTACCACAGGGAACCATTACAAAGAATGCATCAAAAGATTACATGGAAGACAAGAAAAATCCTAATGTTCTAAGGTGTTCTAACAATATTAATTTTTTACACCAATTTTCACGACCATCATCATGTCGAGATCCAATGTCTTCATCCTCTTCAAATCCTTTCACTTTGATTCACGCCTTATAGATTTCATCAATTCTTCACGACCTTGCTAAACCACTTGCAAATCAAGCACAAAAATACTCCAAAATTACGAGGAAGAGTAACCCTTACAAATTTGCCCACAAAACCATGTTTAAAATTAAAAAAACAGGCATATAATTTTAAGGGATCTAAAAATCCAAGCTCTTACAATCACACAACATCACCATCCGAAAACCAAACAAATCAGTAACAACACAGGACGTCAAGAAAACGTGGAAGAGAAGGAAGGATCGAAAGCAAAAATACACCTAGGCGTATCTTTCTCTGGATTTCTCACGTCTTCGCCGCTGTCTAAGAGTCACCGGAACATCTCCGACGGTAAGCCAATTCTACCTCTTTCCGCATCTTTTGCTTTATTTTTCGTGATTCCATGAGCTTGTTGACAGCTTCTTAAGTGAGAGTTTTCCAATCATTTTCTCATATTCGTAATGCGGCGTACATAATATGGTTCGGAATTTTTGTTAGATGTAGATGGGTTGGACCAAGCAGCTCCTCTGATTCAACCCTATCTTTATCTCTTTTTGGCCATGTGGAAACTTGTAACAAAAAACTGTTTTGACTCTGATTTGTATGGGCCCTGCGCCCAGGCCTTGCTACATTACACCATCTAGTTTCAGCCTTGCACCCCTCTGGAATAATAGAATATAATTTTAATTCTTGAATAATTGTTTTGTAAGATATTGCCATGATCCGTTTAGGAAAATTCCATGAGACGATTGATTTCTTTTTTGATTGTTTTATGTTGAGTTAGACTTTATGCTTTAAACCTTGGCATGATAATTTTAGGATAGAATTTACCCTTGATTCTAACTTTAGGTCCACAAGCATGACAAAAAGTAGGCTTGAGATCCCCTTTTGATTAGTCTTTCTCTTTTTTGCATCCATTCTAAAACAAAACACAAATCTTTTTAGAAAACTCAAAAACACTTAACAATAAAAGAGGCGAACAATGTGTCAAGAGCCTTAAGTATTGGGAGAAGTATAAGGCGGTACATTCCTAACCTTGTTCTTCCTTTCGATCATATTATTTAAATATGGTTCGAATCTCAAACTCTTTGCAAATAAGTGAAGAAATAGTTGATGTCCCTGCACTGAGAGTCATTGGCTACTATCCTAACATGAACACTCAACCAATTCAAACTCTTTTGCCTTCGCACTTTTCTTTTGAATAATATTTTCATAAGAAGGATGTTTTATTTCTATTCTACACAAAACGAAACATAAGTCCCCGAAGATCAGGTTAGAATATGTCAAGTGCTAGAGTGTGAATGTAACATTATCCGCCTAAAAAACATAAACAAACCAAAACGCCTTTTTAGGTGAACTATGAGTGCCCTGATCTCTCATTGCACGAAAATGTTATATAGGCACAAAGGTTCGCAACCGCGGCAAGCACAACTAATAAAAATTTTCTTTTTGTATATACTCTTGCATGCATTCCCTTAGAATTGAGTTTTAGATTTTTACACACCCTTTGATTAAAACAACAAGAGTGGATCCTATGGAGTACCACAGACGTGAGGTGCTAATACCTTCCCCTTTCGTAATCGACTTCCTTGCGCTTTATCTTGGTTGCGAGACCATTATTTTTTGCTTCTTTAGGTTTACTCAGTGTTTCCTTTCCCTGATGGGATAAATAACATTGATGGCGAATCTTTCTTTTCCACCTTCGCGTTTATTTTTCGAGATGTGACAATTTTCGACTCTGCTAGGGAGATCTAAGTGAGTCATTCCTAGCTCTTGTTTGTTTACTTTCATTGGGTGTGTATTTTCTTTTTAGATTTATCGCTTGTTCATTTGTATATATGATCATCTGTATATATGTTTTGCATGTATTGTGTAGCGGTAGAAATGTTGAGACTAACCCATTGGATTGACTTAACTCTTGCAAATCAAATAAAAATTGCCACCACGCTTTATTGTTTCCAACGGAAATGGAAAAAGAGTGAATAAACCAAAAAAAGAGAGGGAGAATCTAGGTACGGGGGTTGGTTATTCAAAGGGAAGGTATTAGCACCCTAAACATCTATAGTACTCCACAAGAACCTCTTTGAAAATCTGTGTATTTTGTCTATAAAAGGTGTATACTAAATAAGATGGTGGAGATGAGAAAAGAAGTATTTTTTTACAATTTTTCACCCACCGTGGTTGCAAACCTTTAGTGCCTATGTACCACCTTCCGTACAATAGGGGATCAGAGTACTCGTAGTTCACCTTAAAAGTTTTAAAACACATGTGTGTTTGTTAATTTTAAGAGAATAGACATCATCGTCATATCTGAGTGGAAAACATACTTACTACCCACAATAATGAGAAATGACTATTTGTGTCATCTCAAAGTGGAGGATATAACTTGGATTTAGCATCAATCACTCAACACCCAAATGGAAAATAGCTCTCTTCACTATATATCATAGAAGTATTATAGCTTGTGTTACTAGAAGAATCGACAAGAGTTTAATCTTTTGAGAAAAGTTTTAAAGTAAAAAAAACTAAAATAGCAAAATGGTTTGAATGAGGTTAATGACTTTTAGTCTTGAGAAAGATGTCAAAGTATGATTAAATTGATTAAAGTTTAATTAAGAAAATATTTTTGAAAATTCATGGACCTAAGTCCAAGTTTATTATGAAATCGATTCAAGTTAGAAAACAAGAGTTCTGAAAAGGAGGGAGAAGATTTATTTGAAATTAAAGAAGATATGAGGAGATGAAGGGACTATCCTAAAGCATAAAGTAAAAGATAAGAAAAAAAATTGTCCAACCAACAAGAAGCCAACACTTGACATAAGTAGTCAATGTAGAATTCCCATCCTTTATATTGAAACCAATCAAGCAAAAATATTAAACCTCTAAGGAATACCAAGCTTCAGATGAATTAAGAACCAAGCAAAACCTTCATTGACAAAAATTGGCCAGAGTAACAACAGTATACAGAGGAATTCTCAATGACAGACAAAGAATGAAAATTACAATAACATGCACACACAAAAACATTTAAAACAATACCTTGGAGTAAACCCTAAGGATTTCAGAAGATCATCACAAAAGTATCAACCAAAGATTACAGAGTTCCAAGGTCTCAAGGATTCTAATCCTAAGTATCTGGAATCCACAACTCCACAGTGCTTGGAATTTAAACTAGATAGTCCAAGTAACCTTAAAGCTTTTAATAAGTTGATTATTAAGTGTATTGAAAAATGAAAAAAAGAAAGCTCAAGTGAGCAAAGATAAAAAGGCAGAAAATAAATGCTCAAGTGAGCAAAAGGCAAATAGCATGAGATGTAAATGCTAAAAAATAAATGGTACATAAAAGTAAAGGCACAAAATAAAAGAATAAAGTAAAGTTAATTGTTAGTGAATTAGAAGTTGGAGGTCAAAGTATAACAAAAGGTTAGTTGAATGACCATCTTGAAGCTTGCTTTTGAAAACTCATTAGAAGATTGATAAAATCAAAGCCTCTCAACAACAAGTTTCATTTGCTTTTTGTCAAGTATATCATTCATTTCAAGTACTCAAGGCAACCAGATATTGTCAACAATGTTCAAATGATTCACTTAGACCAAAATTCACGAAGTTCATTAGAGGATTTATAGAATCAAATCCTCCTTACAATGAACTTCAAAGCTATTGGATCCAAGGTTTCAAATTAAACATACTTGGGCTTGCAAACATAAATTTGGGCCACGAATGATTATTTTTCGAATCGGAACAAATTTAGCGCTATGTTAAGCAATTGTAAGTAGACTTATCTAGAAGTCACACCTATTTTAAGGTCGGTCAATAGAAATCTATGTACCATACATGTTATAGAAATGATATGTAGATCATTCTCCACAAACATGTAGTACAAGTAAAAACAAGAAAAGGGATAAGATGAAGAGGGAGGGGAACGATAGTGTAACCAATGTATAAGATGAAATTAGGGTTTCAAATATCATCAACATCATTCATCCATTTTGGTGGATTTGGTTTTTCAATCTATCAACACCCAAGACCCAATAAGGTTGAGGAACTTGTCCCAAAATAATACTCAAGTATCTCCAAATCAGGACCAATCAAAAAATAATAAAATATACTTAATATAAAAATAAAATTTAAATGATTTATAAAAAGGAAATAATTAGTAAAATACACAACATGTATCAAAACACAAAATAAAAATCCTAAAAAAAATATCAGAGGTCAAACATGAGTCAACAAGTGTTGAATATTTTTTTAAGAATTTTTTAAAGTCTGAAACTATTTTTAAATATAAAGAAATAAGCAAAATAAACAAAAAACTTGTAAAAAATAGTAAAATAAAAAATAAAAATAAAATAAGGTAACCAATATTTGTCAAGAGGTCATTGGATCCTTCCATAATTTTTCCATAATTTAAAAAGATCAAAAAGCATTTATAAAAAATTAAAACAAGTCAAATAAAGAGAAAAATCCTTTAAAAAATACCAAATCATAAAATAAAATCGTGAAAAAATAAGAATAAGAAAGATAATATTTGGAAAACAATTTGTGAATTTTTCATAATTTCCAAGTCAGAAATGATTTTTTTATGAATTTTTGAAGTTTAAAACAATTAAACAAAAATCAGAAAATAAAAATAAAACTTAAAAAAATGTGGACCACTAGTTCGTTGTGAAAACATGTTAGTAAACAGATCCAAGGGATCTGCGGTGTTGTGCATGATATGATCCCTAGCGAATATCACACAGGATCATTATTTAAAACATATTTGAGAAAAGTGTGTGGCAAAATGTCATTGGTTGAGAGATGACATGTCATCGTCTTCAACCTCCGGCCAACTCCAATTCGTGATTCCATAAACGGTAAAAACAAGAGCTTAGACCAGTGACATTTCTCTTTGTCTCTTCAAGACGATTCAAATGATACCCTCGCGAAAAGTTTATATTAACCATAACTTAGTCGATTTGGAAAAAACCAGAAGAAAAAAATGAAAAAGGGATTTGAAAATTCATGAGAAAAACTCACCTCCAGTTAAAAATAAACGATGATATGAGCATCATAGTGATGGGATCTACATTGTAGCAAAAAGTTTGAAGACGATGGAGGAATTTACATGTTGAAACTCAACTTCAGATCTCTGAAACTGGACTTGGTGAGCTTGATTCGGTGCTCGATTCTCGGTGATAAGATTATGGTTAGATTTAGAGAAGTTCAATGAAGCTAACTAAATCAAAAGAAAGGAATTAACGAGCCTCTAAAGGAGTAAATGAATTCGAAGATTTCAGAGGTCTCGTATAGTTTGGGCAGAGCTTTATTGGCTATCCAAGCTGAAGGAAGAGTGTGGAATAGGGTCTATGTTTATAGTTGCATCAAATGGTGAAAAGAATTGGAAGAAATAGTGAGGTTTGTAGGGAAGTTGAGTGAATCCCGAAAATGAGAAAAGTGTGACTTGAACTTGCTCAAAACTCAGCTAATTCTTGCGTTTCAATTCTCTAATCATGCTTTGCAACTTGGTTAAACATGTTTAAGTTAAAAACACACAACAACTTGATCCTAAGTGAGAGTTTTCCAATCATTTTCTCTGATTCGTAACGTGGCATACACAATGTTGTTTAGACTTTTTGTTAAATGTAGATAAGTAGAGGTGTAATTGAAACGGAAGAGATGATGTTGTGTGGTGGCTGGAGGTGATCAAGCGGCGGCGTGTTATTCGTAATCAGAGACGA